ATTGAAAATTTCTATCATTAACGCCGCTCATCATCAAAGTTCTTCATGAAACACTCCGTGCCGTACTAACACAGATGGGCAGCGGGAGAATTTACTCATTTCTAACAGGCTAAACATTTGTTTCTGGATAGCCTGACTTTTTAAACTAGGCAGACTTTCGATCCTGGGCAATGTTCCTCTCTGTATATTGATGGTCGGCGTAAATCGAACAAAGAATCCTTTCTTTTATTTCCCTAAAGAGGTCATCTAAAGCCTATCTTAAGAAATGGCTTGATAAATGACGCTTTATTTGCGTAACAGCCAGGTCTCTGAGGAATAGGTTAACAAGGAACTTGTGATGTTGAAAATGTGAGTGCCGTGAAAGGCATTTATATTCCTTCTTTCTACTCTTTTCACATTTTCACATAACGTATATCCCAACAGAATTATCAATTTTTACTTACTCCCTACTATTTTTTTGTAGCAGGGTTTTTTGTGAAATACAAACACAATCACAACGATATCGAGATATTTCTAGACCACAAGTGTCCGCGGTGGGGATCGAAAGCGCTTTTACCTTTTCGGGAAGTAACGCGTTCATCACCACACCACGCGGATCCTTCGTTTCGCCTGTCTCTCAGCTAGTTCTATCGATCAGTGCCATCAGCAATCACCAGTCAAAGGGATTGATCTGGAGAGCTACATTGGCATTGAACCCAGTTAAGCTGAAGCTGTAGTTGAAAACACAATATTTACTTTTTATTTTCTGCCTACTACAACATTCACGGTAGGGTATAATGCGAAATGCAACCACAACGATGCTGAGATATTTGCAAAACTCCGGGTGATTGCTGATGGCATTCAGCGATAGAACTAGTTGAGAGATAAGCGAAGTGAAGGATCCGCATGGTGTGGTAGTGAACGCGTTAGCCGCCTTAAAGTGTAATAGCTCATTCGATCCTCACCGCGGACACCTGCTGTCCGCAGATTTGTAAATGTCTCAGCAACGTTGTAGTTGTATTTCGCATAATAAGTGCCGTGAAAATTGTAGTGAGCAGGAAATGAAAAGTAAGCATTATAACCACAATGTTGCCGAGACATTTGCAAAACTCCGAGCCGCTGGTGTTTACAGAGAGGACCGAACACGTTATTACTCTTTCCGGGGGTTTCATAACATGTTCGTTCTCCGCCGTTGACACCAGCGTTCCGGAATTTTAGAAATATCTCAGCAACATTGTGATGATATTCCAATACTTTAGCTATACTGTATTCTGGAGCAGACTTCTACTTTATACGATGTTCTCTACTCTTTTCTTTACCCAGCTGCCTTTTTTTTTACCGATTTTTTAAACCGAATTCTTCGAATACCTTATGCTCTTAAAATACCAGTTAGTTGTTGGTATGCAGCTGAACAGCCGCTGTGAGCGGTAGTTTCTGAGCTTATCACACTCCTATCACATACAATTTAAGTTGAGACAAGCCCGTCACATTTTTTATCGTTACTAATTACTATATGGTCGTATTGTTTGTGAGTATTGTCAACAAAGGAAGTGGATTCCAGTTAAAAACATTGTTAAAGGCTTCGTTTCTTGGCATTCTTTTGATCTCATTCGGGATTTTGCGAGAATGCCGCTATTTTTGTAAACAGACATTTATTTAACCTCGATATGAATGATCAGTGTCTATTTTATTTCACTGATAAGTCGAAACGAGGTCGCTATCACGATTTATTCGGCTATTGTCTCGGCTTCTCCGCCGTTTTTTGAGCCCAGTTGATTTGAGTCCATTCTCCACACCCATTCATCCCTATGACGTGGTTCATTGTAGTCACATCAAGTTGGATCTTAAGGTCGTTCTTCATCAAATTTTACTTCAACCTCATGTTAGTTGTCGATGAGAAGCACTATTATTCCTTAAGCGTTATTTTCGGTTAGAGAGAAATTCGAGAATGCCGGTGTTGATGTGAACTCCGCCACACTTTTATCAAGTACCTAGGTTAATATTGAAAGTGCCATCAGTGAAAAATGTAGTGTTCAGTTTTCTATTCTGCACTTCTCAATGCTACTTTTCAAAATCATTAGAATTACTCCATTTTACACTTGTCTGATGGGTCATGTGTATCAGTGTAGACGACGAAATCAGTCAAAACCATGCTCTTCTTAAGCGAAACATGTCGAATTAAGTAAGTAGTTACGAACGAAGTAAACGTTCGTGTGAGTGCCGACTACGACTGCGTTACAGCAGCTCCATTGTCGGGGATCCTAAAGACTTGTACGCTTCTGCTGGAGCTTTCGCTTTTATGACCGATTTTTGACGGATTCTCTTGACGTGGGAACGTTCGAGAGGTACAACTTGTAGAAGTTGTGTCCATACAACTCTATACAAAGGCGAAGACGACACATCGAGGCGAAGAGGAATGGTGGACTATCGACTAGGATCATCGGCTCTGATGAAGACGAAGACGTTGAAACGTTAGCCGAATAAAACTGTTTGTTAACCTCCTATAAGCTCATCAAAGAAGGAATACTCCACACAGTCCTATCTACCTATCTCTCGCAATGATGGAGTGTTATAGTTAAAGTGATAAAATATGTTATTTGAAATAAAGTAGCGTAGTGCAAAAGATCACCTCTCACTTTGATTTAGATAATGTCTGCCATTTTAGTTGTGTACACGTGCTACAACTTGTTGTACTGGTTAGTTTTTATGAGGAGTGCTCTGGATGGTGCTACAATGTGAAAGAAGAATTAGAAGGTACTGTCGTCCATTAGACGACATATACAGCTTATCAGTACTCCTAATGTAAGTAGGTATCTTTCGATACTCTGTCTCCGGAATTTGATTTTCATTCAAAGTTCGTTCAAAGCAAATTTCCGTACTATAACGCGTATATTCTTTGTCAGATGCAACTTTCGTTGAAACTAAAGATCCAGTTACTTTATTGGCATAATTGCTCGGCCTTCGCCATCAATTGCTTCATATAGTCATGAAGTCGGTTTGTCAACAGCTTGCCTTCAACTATATCATCTTGTGAACTAAGCTTTCATATGAGGTGCCTTGGAGTAAGAAATTTTTTGCTGTATGTACACTAAATAAATGTGGATTATTCACTAGAGTAGCATGATAAAGCTAGTTTAATTCAGGTCTATTTACAAACGAAAAATTATCCACAGCCTCAACAATGCTGAGATATTTACAAAACTCTGGACCGCAGGTGTCTGCGGTGGAGAACTAACGCGCTATTATCCTTTCCGGGAGCGAACGCGTTCACCATCATACCATGCGGGTCCCTCGTTTCGCCTGTTTCTCGACTATATATTTTATTCTATGCATATCATTTTTCTTCATAACTCGCAATAAAATTTGCCAGTATACCAACGTGACAACATATGAAATCACAGAAATCTTTCAGCGTTATCAACGTCAGTGCTCTAACCTGCTTTAGTGCTTTTGTAGTTCGGATGCCAAATATATCAACTCGTCAACACGTCATCGGTATGACAAACCCCGCGATGACAATATTCCTCTTACTACCTATTCTTGGTTTACTAAGTCAGCTTCTTGTCAGACTAGATTCTTCTAGAATCTCAAATGTGATGCAATCATCGCAATGTTTTCATTGGACACTATTTTGAACAAATTTTAGAATAATGTGGAAGTATTGCATCGAAGATCGATGTGCAGAAAAAATATCGCCACGTCAACAGTAGGCGTTTAACAAATATTCGTCGGTAATCCAATGATATTAAACGTAAGTTAACGTTTATAGTGTTCATTATTCATGGGTGGACTCATTACTTCCTCACTGGCATATTCACTGAGAAGGTGAAAATGAATTTTGTTCGTATGATGAAATATGAGTAGGATGCGTGTGGCGCAGTGGTCGGAGGCCCCCTGTAGCACACACGTGGAATCTCTGCCCCATGGCCCACCAATCCTTTCATGCCTCCAGGTTGGGCAGATTGGTGCCTGACGTCTGGGAGGGTTATCCATTCAATCACCTTCAAGCGATGCTCAATGAAGTCGAATGCATGGCGCATCCCTCAGGGATTGATCAACGCCGAGGGCTTAAAGAGCATTAATGAAATACGGGTACCATCAAGAAAAAAGTCAACATTTCATTCTTTTGTTACAGACTCTGATCGTCGTAATTAGCTCTTATCAATAGTGATGTGTGATTTTCCATGCGTAACCACTACAATCCCTACCCATAACAAACCTGAAATAACGAGAGAAGTTAGAAGTGCTCTGAGGTGAAATAATAATAAGCACATGTTGTCCAGTGCTTGGAGCTGCTCTTTAGAATGTAGATGGTAGGTGGCTCGATCCCACACTCAGGACTAACAAAAAAGCACATCTCTCCGAAATCAGGAAATTGTTACCTAACATGTCTATAAGTCTGAAAGGAAGAATCACTGATTTGGTACATCGGGATGCCATCGCTAGTCACTGTATGTTGCAAATCTGCATTCAATTACCTCAGCGATGCTATGAATGAGGTCAGATGCAGTCCGATTGTCGAATGCCAAATCTTCAAAGGACTGACCTACGTTGTGCGCTTCACACTTTTATTCTTTCACCGCTTATTCGGGGCCCTTACTGCTCTGGAAATTTCATGGTTATAGTCTCACCTGTAATATCACGTAAAGGAAGAACTTTAACATAGGTATGTCGGATACGAGAAATTGCATGATTAGCTTTATTTGACAAATCGTCTCTCTATGAGAAAACCATGAATAAAAGTTGAAATGAGGGAAAACTAGAGCCGTATGTTCATTGGTTCTCATAAAAGGAGAGAAAATATTTCCACATAGGAGATCATAATACAACATTATTAGTTAAATACACAATTTACTAAGAAATCCAGACAAGTAGTTTAATAGCATTTGGCTCGTTAACCCAAATTCTATTGCGATTTACAGAACAGTATGACCACGTTTGACTAAAATATTTAAGAAACTAGCAGAAACAGCATAACAGCTGTGAGGAAAAAATGGCCACTCGCAATTTTTCTTCTCAAATTACTTCTTTGCTCTCAGTACCTTAGAGACCTTGTTAATCATTTTAGTCAGTGGTCTTGTTGAAAAACAGTTGACACCCGCTGAGTAAAGCTTATCGATACGTCCGTTAAGAAATTCTTCACTGCCTGGTAGTGGATCTGACGACTCAGGAGCTTTTGAACACTGAAATCGTTTAAATAACCATTGAATTTAAAGCAAAAATATGAAAACTATAAACAGTACTATAATGCTAAGATATTTGCAAAACTCCGGACTGCAGGTGTCTGCGGTGGGGAACGAACACGTTATTATCCTTTCCGGGGAGCAACATCATCACCATACCATACAGGTACTTCTTTTCGCCGGTCTCTCAGCTAGTTCCATCGATCTTTTGCCATCAGCAATCACCCGTCAACGGGATTGATCTGGGGAGCCCAAATTGGCATTGAATCCAGTTAAGCTAAGACTATAGTTATAATCACAATCTTTAACCTTTTTATTTATAAAAAGAATAGGCAGTAAATAAAAAGGTTAAGATTATGATTATAACTATAACCTCAGCATAACTGGGTTCGATGCCGGTTTGGGCTCCCCAGATCAATCCCGTTGACGGGTGATTGCTGATGGCAAAAGATCGATGGAACTAGCTGAGAGACCGGCGAAAAGAAGTACCTGTATGGTGTGGTGGTGATGTTGCTCTCCGGAAAGGATAATAACGTGTTCGTTCCCCACCGCAGACACCTGCAGTCCGTACTTTTGCAAATACCTCAGCATTATAGTAGACATAAAATAATTGAATAGAAATGATAATTTTAAAAAAATGTAAATAACTAACTCTTTTCACAACCCATTCGTGAAACATGACGGTCTCGGAAAGATATGAAAGATACGGTCGGACTGATTTATCTGGTTGAGCTTCAACAAGGCGTCGCTTGAATTCTGAGCCCCATTCACACTCTCCCGAAATGGTCTTGTAGTGCCCAAATAGCGACGCATACCAAAGAAGTATAATCTGAATAACTACTAGTTGAAAAAGTGAGCAACCTTTCAGTTAGCAGAAAAACATTCATTTTGCGGAGATACGAAATTAACAGATAACAAGGAGACGGAGTAACAGAAAGTATATTAAGTACACACAGAACGTCGGATGTAGTCTACTTGCATGAGGGTTTTTGATATTGAGAACTTTTAACCTATAACGACTTTTCGCTCATGATGTCAACAAGTTCAAAACATTTCCTGCTATTGTCTAGTTTAATGTCTAGTTTAATACGATCTTCGGATGCTGCACATTACTTTTTTCGTTTGTAAACTCTAACAAAAAAAAAACACCAACATTTTCTACACGTAAATCAGCTGCTGGACCCGATCCTTCAGCTAAGGCACTTCTTAAACCCGTTATTAAGGCCATGCTGACTTTTTTAGGCATTCCCAATCGTTGACAAAAACTCACTGCACACTGAAAAAAGACATCCATAAACGACGTAAAGCGATGCCATGCATAAGCTTTAATTCTTTATAGAGAAACTTTTCTTCTGTGAAAATTCGCTCTCGCCTAACAAGAATTCAACATACTTAATTCTGCAGTAGATTTTTCCACCTTAGAGGTGAAAAAAAATTTGGATGAACTGGAAAACACATGTTTCGAAATAAAGGTGATTCTAGTCTACAAAAAAGCCACGTCTTCAACGGCTCCGCTCAAAGATAGACATCCAGGAATGCATAAGAGTTTTTTGTGGAAAACGTTTAAATGGAGCTTTAATCACTTCAGAAAAGATGGAAGCCTTCTATTGACAGCTGCTCAACAGAACGTTTTGTGCGACCTTGATTCTTAGTACAGACTTGTTATCGAAGGAAATCTCTTCGCAGAAGTTGAATTTTTAATCGAGAATCTTTGACTGCAATACAGATGCAAGATCAAACAATATCTGGATCAACACAGATAAAACAAGCTAGACAATATCCACTCACACATGCATAAAACCAAACCTTAACAAGAATCAAAGGTGGGTGAATGTGAAAAAAGTAGATGGTCCACAAAACTCGCGATGTGATGCATAAACATTTGGGACCACACGCGACATTAATCGTATTGTAAACACCAGAAAATAAAAAAAAAATACTTAGAAGTGCAAAATAACAGGTATATTTTTGTTAGATACTACTGTAAAGGGCGCGTGTGGCGCAATGGTCAGAGACCTCCTGCAAGAAACACGTGGAATCGATCCACGCGCCCATTGCTCACCAGGCCTTCCATGTCTCCGGGGTCCGCAAATTGGTACCAGACTTGTCTAAGAAGATAGCACCACCGACTCGCTACATCGCTTGGCTACCAGGAATCATTATAAAGGTCAGATATGCATTCAATCACCTCCAAACGATATTTCATGAAGTCGAATGCATGGCGCGTTCCTCAGGGATTGATCAACACCGAGAACTTTATCATTTACTTTACTACTGCAATTTTGCAGAAATTAATGCATATATTTACACTATTCACTACACTAACAACGCCAGACGTGCATTGAATACAATGCGTGTATTTCGAAATTGGTGATTAATTTAAGTTTCGAACAAAAATAGCCCAAACGCAATCACTGTTGTTTCAAATAAAAACTCTAGGAATCTACAATCTTTACCTACATGATAGAACTTCCTTATTCTACGAAGACGAAATTCTGATTTTCTACAGTCCAGAAGATCTATTTCTGTCACGCCTTTTTCTTCGTGGAAGCCTATATTTCAGACCCAAAAACAGTTGAACAAGGTGAACTTCGTCCAATGCGGCATGATGGTTGTAGTCAATCTATTGGTGGTGTTAGCGACTGCCACGATTGGGTAGATAATTTCGGAAACTCAAAATTGAAAGAATGTTTTATAAAAGTTATATAAACGCTTCCATCCAAAGTTTACCCCCTCATCGTAACTAGGAGGTGCTCCTGTATGTCGGGCTGCGACGTCAGGCGAAATTCATTCCCTCCGCAGGGGCTTCCAAGCTGAGGAGTCAGGTGTTTCCATTAGGAAACCCGACTAAGAGTAAACCAATACCAGGATCCACCAGCGTCCTGGTAGCAGACTAATTGCATGGTGGCAAACCTCCTTCTGATCCACAAGGGCGGAGACGTGGTGACGACCTGGGCAGACTTGGTTGGGTTGTCCTCGGGAGTCCAGGAAACCACAATAACTAAACCAGCGAAACTCCGAAAAAGTGGAAATTGTGCTAAGGTCCGCATGACCAGTGAGGACGGGACGTCCAGGTATGCAAGTATATAGACTCTTAATACAACAGGATAAAGCCTTTTCCATGACTGTATGAGGTTACAAATCCTTAAATTCTTTAGTGATCGAGAAATTACCGTTATTTGTCGGAAACCAGCATCACACGATGTTTGTTAATGAATATGAATGTGTGGGAGATTCCTCAGTTAGTCTACTTTGGAAACCTATTCCTCTCTATTTCATGCTCTAGGTTCATTGATTCAATTACTATGAGAATTCGTGTACTCGTGATTTATACTGCATCAACATCAATCGATAACTCATGTGACGTACTAAGTGTGCTCTGAAATGACTTTTTCCTTACTTCTACTTCATGCGAATTATTTCATTGCGAAAATAGGCACCACCTGCTGTTTCCATGCTGCAAAATTGCTATTGAAAGCATAAGGTTCTGGTGGTGGATTTACAAGGCCATTATCAGCATCGATGAAAACGAAATCTAACTAAAATAGGACTCAAAATAGTTTAAAGCGCAGAATAAAAACACAGTTTTATTTTATACACTTAAACATAACATAATCTAAAAGTCGATACCTGATCGATGGCGCTTTCAGATGACTGATCGGCTATAATTAGTTTATGAATTAGGGCGAGGTTGTTTCTGGAATAGATATCGACTGATCAATTGAACAATTCCATCCAAAATTCCTAGCTTTTGCACTCTTTCGTTGGCATGTTTGATGTTTCTTTTTCTTTCTTGTTTGACTTTACCTGAGTATGCCCATAAGGTATGGGGTGGGATTATGACAAAGGTCAAGTAAATTATCTGGAACTGCCGGTATGAATACATGTGGCCAGCAAAGTGGTTGTATTAACGCTCCCATAACTTGCACCAGTTTAGAAACTGTACACACCTAAATCGAACGCTGAATTAACGGTGATCAAAAACAAATGATTAAAAAGGAAAAGCAAGTTTAAAAGTAAGAAAAAGCAAGGCAAGTGGTAAAAAAGTGCAATTTTATAAAATGAACGAATGAATGTCAATAACCAAAAAATTCACCGTGTTATCAGCAAGCAATATTCTTTGCTCCCCTAAAAGGGCTGCGATGATGCACGTAGTAATTTCAGGAGATATCCTGAAAAGCAGGACAGTATTCGCCTCATTTCAATGTCTGTGAAATCATAATCAAGGTTTTCGTTTTACTAGGAAACAAAAAAAGGACCACAAACCGTTCAACAATCTGCGAACATCCAGTCCTACCCAATATTGATCCCTGATTAAATATCTCAATCCTATTGGGCAATCCAGTTGTACATTTTTCTAACACTACCAGACTTGCACCTGATAAGATACACGTGTTTGTTTCTTGACATCAAAACCTCGGAATTTTTTCTAAACAGTAGTCTGTTTCAGTACTGTGTTACTAACACCTTGTTAATCGTCTGAGAAAAAAAACTGGTCATATCGTGTCAAATACCTTCTCGACTTCATTAGAAGTCATAGAACGTTTCTGCAGGAAGTTGATCATCAAAAAAAAAAGAGTTACTAACAAAAAAAGCATGCATAAAACAGCAAATATGACGAAGCAGTAGAGTGAAACAACAAAGAACTCTATAAATCCATTAATTTCTATCAACAATGTTCTCGACCTGCTTATAAAAAGCTTAAATAAATATAAAAACAAATGAATGATGAGAAAAGAAAGTTTCATAGCACTTATTCTAGCATTTTCTTCACAGTATAAATCTATTGTTCAGTTTTATTCAAAAATAACAATAACCTGAGAATCTAACCTCGATTTTGTGGATAGCTGTGTTGAACAATTGATGACAAAAAATTCGTCAGTTGTACTCGATTTCGTCCAATATATTGCAAAATTTTACGGGCCAAATCCAAGTAGAAAACCGCATTACGAATCGGTGATACCACAACCAGTACTGCCGGATAAGCACCATTCTCTTAAACGTCAAAGAAAACACTACTGATTTGATTATACATCTATGAAGCGCAGATCTATCTTTAAAACTCACTATTGTTGTCCCAGGACGGCAGAAATTTATGGCAGTAGGCGTTTTTTCGTTCCCCATTGATGTCTGTCAAGGCCAACACGAACTCCTCCCTGGCCCACGTTCTCCGCTGAGCTCGTGAATAATCAGGAAAGAACAGCTCAGGTGGTATATGTTCACCGAAAATAACTTCTCATTAAATCACATTTGTGGTAATTACTACACACACCATAATAGATGCAAGAAAGAAAAACAATGAATAGATAGATAGACACAATTTGTTTGAATAAGTTTTGCAAACCGTTTCTATCTTCCGGAAAGCGATAGGTGATCGTTGGTTTTCGTAGTGGTTCCCCATGGCCAGTAATCGCTTTTCTGCAACCGTACGCAATTATAAGGGCTTACTACAATAATTTAAATAAAAATAAAAAATCAGAGACAATGCTACACTTCTAATACATTATTAAAGGCATAAACACCTACATAAGTAATGCCAACATACGTAGTGAGGACATGATAGCATACTGCCTATTAGAAGCTGACCCATCCTAAGCCCAATACGTCTAAGGAATTATTATTCTGCTTTTTTTTTGTTTCTTGGCAGAAACCAACTGGCTGCAGAAGATTCGATGACGTACTTATTTAATGGCTCGTTCAGCCTTTAAAGATTTCGACAGGAATTTAAGGCTCCAAAGAAGAAGGATATTTAGATGCTCATTGACAAGCCTCAATTTGAACCTCATTCGAAAAACAGGATTCAAATTTAGAGATGGAAATTTTTCCTAGTATCTTGTGAAATTGTGAAACACTTATGAAATCTGCTCAATGCATTCATATAGAGTTACAATTGTTATAACTATGATATAAATGATAAGTGAACAAACTATTCCCTGCAAGAGACAACAATTATCTATGATACAACTTACTCAAGTGACACAATGATCACGCATTCGAACAGCTGTGGCGACGTACCGCACATGGCGGCCATGTACCTGTCGCGTTCTTCCAGTGTTCGTTGTCGATGGTTAGTGGCTCGGTCTTTTTGCCTTTGCAACGAGCTCGACACTATCTGAACGAACGACAAATCAATGACGTTGAGGTGTCGTTGAACAATGGCAGGAATATGCTATCCTATTAAACTACTGATCACACTGACCTCTCCGTCTGGTTTCCGCTTTGAGACGTCGACACGTTTTCCTCTCGGTGTCGTGAGTTTCAATCTGAAGACAACGCAAATTCAATGAAAATCTTCAAATCTCTTTTTAAAAATGTTGTACTCTTTGTGATCGATGTGTGGGAAAATCTCGAAGGCATAACAAGACCGATTCCAGAACTTTCAAGCAATGGCCTATCACTATCACTATGCTGCTTACTCATTTTCGTGTATCAGTAAATGTTGACAATGTCAACTGATAATCAGAAGTATTACAGATGATCGGCAAACCTAAGATGAAATTGGATTTATGAAATAACCAGATATAATAAGAGTGGAAACAGTACGGTTGTAAGATTTTATTTCCTTCCTCAACTATGCGACGCATTCTCACCCACCCACAAAAATTTTACTGTTGACAGTTGCACATAGTGAAAATATACGTGAAGATCACAACAGGCTATATTTTCAAATGTTTTTATAATAGTGAAGAATCTGTTTAGTCGTTTAGTTCAAGCATCATCCATCGAAACTTACGTTTTTTTTTTGGTTTTCTAAATCTTTATTTCAGTACTATTTTAGATAGCATGAAGATAGTGCGCAGCTCAGTGTTCCGCATTCTAAGCTAAATATTTACACACGTCCATCAGGTGCGTCAGTGAAACTATTTAAGACAAACATTAAAAACGATAAACAGTTATAAAGGGTATTTCTGAATGAAACCCTACCGGGTGAAGAAGTACAGGGAGAATAGCACATTACTTAGCAGAGCATTCCATCATGATCATCTCAAAAACTACAAACAGTTCAAGAAAGAAACGCATTGCGAATTGCTTGCAGAAATGAAGACCGTACTGATGACAGTCAATGTGAAACGTCTTGAAACAGAATTACTATAACTGGATCACGAAGTCGACAGTAATTCCTCCGAAACGAGGCAGATCTAAGTAGTCAAAAAAAAACTGTCAGAAAACGAAACTGAACAATTAAAAGCTTGTTCGATGTGGTGTTTTATGTAACGATTGCACAGGCATTGAAGGATGCTAGTGCATACAACGAGAAAAAACGCCCACTCTTCGTCTTCCATACCGCTCGGCCTCTTTTCCCATATAGGAATCCTATTCACTGATCGATTAGTCGCCGAAATTGAACTTCACCGCTTCGTGCTAAACGTCTAAGCGCTATTCCACTTCACTTCCTTGTGAATGTGGTGATTATGGCTTTTCTTCGTATTAAGATATTCACTGGGAGACTTCAGTGGAATGGCATAATATCCATTAATTTAGAAAAAAAGCATACAAGGCAGAAAAAAACTCCGAACCAATATTTGTTGCAACATTTGTACCAATGAACTTCGTATAACGTTGACGGTTGGTTGACACAATGATTTTAATGATGCCAAGATATTTGCAAAACACCGGACCGCAGGTGTCTGTGGTGGGGAACGAACGCGCTATTGTCCTTAATGGGGAGTAGCGCACATCACCACAACACCATCCGGGTCCTTCGTTTTGCCTGTCTCATCCTGCCATTAAAAAGAAAAAGGCAGTAAATAAAAGGGTTAAGATTGTGATTATAACTAAGCCTCAGCTTAACTGAGTTCAATGACGATTTGGGCTCCTCCGATCAAACCCGTTGACGGGTGATTGCTGATGGCAAGTGATCAGTAGAACTAGCTGAGACAGGCGAAACGAAGGACCAGCATGGTGTGCTGGTGAACGCGTTACTCCCCGAAAAGGACAATAACGCGTTCGTTCCCCACCGTAGACACCTGCGGTCCGGAGTTTTGCAAATATCTCAGCATCATTATAGTTATATTTCGCAATATACCCTGCTGTTAAAAAAGTGTAGGCAGTAAATAATAAGTTAAAACAGTGATTTTATTTTTTACACAAATTCGCAGGCTTCTGCTTTTGAGAGGTCCCATCCAGAAGCCAACTTAGTAAATTTCACCCTGGCAGAACACGGTGAACTTATCTTTCTCGTCAATAACAGTAAAAATGAATGACTTCCTACCAAAAGTGTGGTACTGCTGACATCAACATGTGTTATTTTGTTGACAAGCTGATATGAGGTTGATAAAAAAACCCTCATTCGGCTGTTTCCGCGCCTTCAGCTTCTTCAGAAACGGATTGATCCGAGTTTATTGTCCACTCTCGTTTCCTCTTTCGATGTGGGTCTTCGTGATCGCATCGAGTCGAATCCGGTGGAACGTCGCTCGAATGAAGGAAAAAACAGTAAAAACAGCGACCGTAATGTATAAAAGAGCACTGCCAAGTGAGGTTCTTCGTCCTTCCTGATAACTGAGGACAATCGACTCGGATCAATCCGGCTCTGAAAAGGGCTAAAGCGACAGAATAAAGAAACGTTAACAGAATAAAGTATTTTTTAAATCAACCTCGTGTTAGCCTATTGATACGATGAAAAGAACACATGTTGAATAGTCAGTCACACTGAGGTTAAAGGAAAGTCGTTTTTTGAAATACTCTTGGTATCTCCTAAAAAATAATGTGACCCATAAGCAGTCGTAGTATGCAGCAGAAATGAACGAAAATAGTTCAACTGAGCGGCTTTATATAACGATTAATGGTATTCAGTCCTAGACGAAAATTCCACAAGTGAACACTCACGGAATATAACATGAAAGTAAAAAAAAAAAACAGGCCTATGGATGGAATGAATAGTGAAATGGAGACGGACTTTTTTTTCTTCCTGGAAAAAATGGAGTTTCGCGTTATTCAATAAAAGCTTGGTGGGAGTAAACAAAACGCGAAATACTAGACATTAATGCAGAAATCACAATGTCTTCACTTTGAATCATTGCCTATTACATTTTCATTTTACGATGTGAACTACAACCACAAGGATGATGAATATGAGCAAAACTAGGGACCTTACGTGACTTCGAAACCGAGATTGTCCGTACCAAGGTATCACATACTATCGATCACACCAACGGATGTCCTTCGGTAGCCTTTCTCTCGGGCAGTTTTTAACTCTTTCGGTATAATCACCTATCAACGAGAATGATCCAGGAAGAACAAATCGGCATCTACGATTCATAAAGAAAACATGTTTCAGTGAGGAGTTCAAATCCACAGAGTTCGCAGAATTACGTCATTAGGGTACACTGAACACATAAGTCTCATAGATAATGAGAAATACCAAAACTTCAAATCTTCCGTCTCCGTAACACTATATGGGCAAATGTCGACGGACTGAGAGCACAGTTTCAGGCATTCAAAAAAAAATTAACATGAGCAATTAAACTTGTTTTCTCATATGTAAAAACAGTGGTAATATATCCCATTAATATTGTTGACACGATATTAAAATATCTTACAAGATATAACCGATAATCAAGTTAGCTCTAACTCACTTTCACATGAGTGGTTGTTAACTGACTGTCACAGAAGAATTCTAAGGATGTTATCGACCATGGAACTCAACAACATTGTGGTTAAAAGTATCATGTGAGGGCCAGTCGATAACCGAATTCAGCGCTTGGTCGTTTGTAGAAGAATAACTCGCCAAGTACCTAACTGAGGAAGATTCCAAGGGGTTCACTGAACCAGGTGGTCTACAAATTAGCACTTTAGGATGTTCGAGCGAAATATAGCCCATTACAATAGCTTAGTCGTTGATTTGCAGAGGAGTTGGTTGCCACATGAGTGACACAGTAACGCTAGAAGAGTGTGATTGACCACAGAGGTCCAAAGAGTAATACGTGCTTGAGAAACATACAATATTACATTGACTTTACAATATGTATGCAATCAGTCACTATGAAAAACAAAAACATGAATAAAGTGCATATTCATAACCGAAGAATTAGAAATAGCTGACCTTTCATACCAAGAGTATAGACAGTTTCACTTGATAATGAAGGCTATGACTACTCAACTAGTCGATGAACATTTCTGATAACCGTCACTCATTTGATCTCAGCATTAGAAATCAAAATCTTGTTGAATTGAAGAATTTACACGAAGTTAGAAAAAGCTATATTATCGTTAACGCTGCGGCGCCTTCTACTTCTTAAGAGCTGAAGTGATTCTTGTAAAGTTTCCACAAGCGTTCATCCTTCCGATGTGAATATTCTTGAACGAATAGAATCCATCCAATTCACTGGAGCAAAGCGTCACCTGAGATTCGTCCCTGACGAAGATGAAGGGTCGAAGATGTCACAATAGTCATCATGATGTTTACTTTCTTTTGCAATATTCTCATGTAAAGTCATCAGGATAATAAAAGACCCAATCAACATTGCCATTTTCTTTGACCATCACAGCTGCCCAGAATCAAGAATCAGTTTCTATGCGAACATTGAAACACATACAGTAAAAATACGATGAAATAGTTACAAAAAAATTCATTAGTCTGCGTTCAAAAACATTTCAGAATGATAATTTGTATTCACAGATGTTATATTCCATCGGTGAATTGTTATTAGAAGCATTTTTTAATGATGATTTGTCTGATATATGCTGAGTGCTCAAGAGAGACTGTGCAACGTAGGAATTTTAATAATAACAAAACAGAAAACTGTGAAAAACACGGACTTCTGCGGGTGATATTTAGCCTTGAAAGTTGTATGCCAGGATACGCTCATTTCTTTTTGTATACTCTGTGAGTCACTAAAAAGATATCCAAGTACTCAGCTTCCTCGTTTTTCCTTACAACATAAAAATTGATGTCCTCAGGATGCCGTTCTATTTTTAGAGATCGCATCCTAGTACAACGACATCCATTCACTTCAGCTCATAATATTTGCCTAATCGAAAACACATATACCGCCATATGCACGATGTTCTAACATATTTTTATGAATAAAAAAAATCAAAGAAGTCATATAAATGTTCTAAATCACTCATAAATGACACTCTTAGGAGTTTCTTTACAATAACACTCAAGACCGGTGACCCGTAATTATGTGCTGTACTTCCCGTTAATTAAAAAAGTGATTTGTAGAAATGAAAAAAGAGTTCAATATTTGAATATATGCATGTCTATATGATCAATGATAGAAGGTGCAAAATCGGAATAATCAATGAAGGAATAACACCTACGTTATTTAAAACCATAGGAGCAAATGGCAATAGAGATAAAAGTAATAAATTTCCAGATGAGTTTTCCTGTTGGTGATGGTGTCGATAAGGATTATTTGCAAGAGATTTAGTAAACGGTGTTGGTAGAGAAAAACAGTTGTCAGATCGGATGCAACAATGAATGACGTAGAGCTTTACTATCACACAAGTACACTTGTCAACATTGTGTCGTGCCTCTGTATTGATACGATAGGATTAATAATAGCAAACGAAACCTACAACAAAATTCCAAATATAAATTCATCTACGGTCAGTGCACGAGCCAGAGAACTCTTGCCAAGTAGTCAGGTTTTCAAGCAGCATGTTATGCTACGCCATCCTTCAACAAACATCATTGAGTTGTACTGTGTTGAGTTGGTTGACGATAATAGTGAATAAAATCACCACAGTGTTTTCCAACCGACAACGATGATCAAAACTCAAAACCCCGAACAAAATCGAACTCTGAAACTGTAGATGAGGCAACGAACGTTGATGACGAGCAGAGAATTCGTTAGTCATCCTAAGGCCAGAGTGCAATGAATACAAAATCAACACAAGCCATGTGCTGCGATCGAGAGATGTGAGGAAAAATCGTTGCGGCTGTCGAAATATGAAACGAGCAAAGCCATCAAATACCAAGTTCGATGGTTGAAAAGAAATCTCGAGGTGGCAATGGAAAACTTCGGAAGAAAAGTAGAAGAAATGTGAACTAGTAGAATTGGCATGGAACTGCTCGTAAAATCCTAGTCGCCGTCGTCGTCTTAGCACATTTTCATCGAATTGCAATTGAAATTGTAAAGTGGTGCCTTCCTCTTTAACGTTAATGGTTTTCTCTCTTCGTCTTATTCTATCAAAGCAGCTATAATTCTGCATCAAATAGTTTCGCATCTTATACTCATAATATAGCGAATCTATATTGAAATGTAAGGAGCTGGAAAGTATGCATGACGACGGCAGCATAGCACAGAAGACACCAGCCAATTCAAAACTAAAGAACGATAAACGAGACAAAAAGTAAT